GAGTACGCGCCCAGAGCTTCCTCAGCGCTCTTTTATGATTTAGCTGCACGCGTATCTTTAGCGGCAGCTCCTCTTTCCTTCCCGAGAGAGGGACGATCGTAAAGGCCGCGTTGAGGGCCTCCTTGATGCTCGTGGAAATTCTGGTTGCAGCGGCCTCTACGTCGTCCGCTGAGGTAATCGGTGTATGGACTGGAGGTCTCTCCTGCAGGTGTTGGTGGTAGAGCCTCCAGTCGATCTTGGTCTTACTGGCTCTGGGCGGTGAGGTCACTGCCTTAGTGCCAAGGGTTATCAGAATCGGGAGGTGCTGTGTATTCAGGTCATACAGCACTTCTACCACTACTGGATAGTTGACGTTCCTAGTGAGCACGATGTCTAATACATCCGGACGCTTCCTAGGGTCGCTAGGGATGTGCGTCGGTTCCTCGGGACCTAGAACGTCATAGTCGTGGTGTTCAGCATCTTCATAGAGTTCACGACCCGGCGGGGTGATCACTCTGGACCCCCACGCCGGGTGTTTGGCGTTCAGGTCCCCGGCGATGATGGTGGGTGTTGTGCCTTCCATTACCGTCCGGATGTCTGAGGAGTGAAATGGAGTCCCTGGCGGGCGGTATGCTGCAAAGATCCTAAGTTCCTCGCCCGCCGCCTCCATTTTTATGCCGATTGAACGCATCGTCTGGAAGTCTGGCAGGTCCAGCTCCTGGTGGACGATGTCTCTCCTCACCAGGATCGCTGTCCCTCTGTAAGCGACCCCTTGAGGATCGACCTCGTCCCTCCGGTATATGTGGTAATTGGGCAGCTTAAGATGCGTTGTAGGTCTTAATTTTGTATCACCCAGCAAGATCACCTGGATGTCCTGTTGCTGGGTGAGAGTGCGGAGTTCATGGATCCTTTGACGAATCCCGTCCGGGTTCCAATATAGCAGGCGCAGGTTGCTATCCTCCATAGTGCCTTGCCAGTAAGGATGCCAGCGCCTTCATGACGGCGGTGACGGGATCAGTCCCGGCCCTTATGTCGGCCAGGACTTGTGCACCGACTTCGATGGCTATGCCTACCAATCTATGGATGGCATCAGCCGTCTCGAAGCCGGACGCTGGTGGTCTGCGTTCTGAACTACGCTGTGAAGGCACTGGTCTCGGGGCATTAATAGTCGTCTTTCTTTGGATTGAGCGCGCTCTGTGTGTAGAGCGAGCTCTGCTTTCTGGCAGGGCCCTTTCAGGTGCTCTACCTGCCGTAGGTGGTGCTGGTGCTCTTGTAGTAACCTGCGCATTCCCCTGGTGTTGTAGTCGTTCATGGGCGGCCGAAGTCACTTACCATTAGGTGCGCCGCATGCTCGTATGCCCCCTCTCATATCAAAAAAGCCCTAGCGCAAAGCGTCCAATATATGCAAAATAGGGAAATGATATATACATTGATACTAATGATATATACGTAGAGCGCTTTTTAATGTTCAAATAATTGCACTATATCAACCATGCATTCTTCTTACACTGACTACACTTATGCTACGTGAGGGTAATATAATCACTTTAAACTTTGCCACCCTATAAAACCAAAACTAGCAGAAGGACAGAGACAAAAACACGAAGTCGTATACTATAACTAATATATTAAGAAAAATAAGCAATCAAGTTTTGGCAATAATTAGGACTACTTCAAAATATCAACAGAAGAACTGACTACACTACATCATACTAAAATTGACTAAATTATTTATTATAGTGACAACTGTCAAAATGGCGTCGATAAGGTAGCGCCCTTTTGCCCTTTTATTTGATTGACTGATAAAGAGCTATCGTATCACAGATCCATTTATCCAAACAAGGCTGTAGCATCTGAGTTATAAGAAAGTGACCATATTAACCGGATGACCATATTACCCACACGTACTACATTCAACAATAATAGTAATGCAGTCAACCAAGCATTAATCTCGCACAGGCTTCAAGTATGCATCAACGAGTCATAGAGTCAACCAATAAGTAACTATGTATTTACAAAATGCCCAATCCAAACAGAATAAACAACTTAACCCATAAAATTCAATTTCCTTTAATTACTTGCAATATGATGCTTAATTTTAGTTCAGCAAAACACTTTATATCCGCCGGTAAAAGCTATGTCAGACATCCCCCCCCCCCCCCCCCCCAAAGTTGTAGCGTGTTTCAGTTGTAAAATTTTACTATGTTAAATTTTTAAAAGCTTAAATGTAGTTAAAAATATAAAGTTATCAAAGTATAACTGTTAATTTTTTATCTCCAAACAAACCTATAATTTTAGTAATGTGTGGTGTTAGGAACCGCGAAATAGTTTGTGTGCTTATAAAAAATGATATTTAAATACGATTATGATATAATTAACAATTTAATTACAACAAGAGCTGTGATGGAGGCCGTTATATTAAAACACTACCGCAGGTTGGCCAGCAACGTGGGCTGGGAGTCGTAAATCCCAGTTCTCATGACTTCTTGAGTTTATTTTCTCGCGGCGCACTGTTTTAAATACCTATCTCAAAACAACAGGTCGAGAACAAACAAATACTAAACCACAGCGTGCTTAGTATCTCGGTGACTGTTTTTAGAAACATTCGTAAAATGCATGTATTGTGTAGAAATCAAGATGTTGGTATCGTTCAAAGACTACATAAACCACTACGTTTACTTTCGTTATTCTGTTAGTTTTAAAAACTTACAGTAATGTGATTTCACAATAAGAAAATAATCTTAATATATATAGATTACGTGTCACGTTGTTTTTCCGCCATGGACTCCCTAAACTACATAACCGATTTTAAGCAAATTTGCACACCGCATGCAGTTTGGTCCAACTTGAGAGATAGGATAGTTTTATTGCCCATGAGTGACCAACAATTTTTTTTGCGAATTTATGGATTTTTAATAGACATGACAAAGGGTCGTCGAAAAGGGCAGAACAACGTCTGCCTGGCAAGTTAGTACAATTGTATAACGCTGAATTGATAAATGATCTCATAGCCCACATGATGGTAAGTAGCTACTGCAGCCCTAGAACACCTGTGAACTATTTGAAACGAAGAAGAAAAGAAGGCTACATATACGTTGTCATATCCGAGAACTATGACGGAATGCTTCACGGCCTGTACTTATACTAGCTCTCTACCCTTCAGCAAACACAGCAGCGCGCGAACAGCTGCTTGGCGGCACAAATATGTAAGAGGGTGACACTTACCCAGATGAGAAGCAGTTCAGAAAAAGAGTTCTAACGCCTAGTAAATAAAGATCAAGAAAATGACAACAAAAATTAAAATAGGTAAAAATTGATTAAAACTACTTTTACGGATTTTATCGCGTATTATTTACTTTTTATTTTTAATTCCCGACGTTTCGGGCGCTTTCCAGCACCCATGGGTCACGGGGTCCCCCGTAAATAAAAAGTAAAAATAAACGCGATAAAATCCGTAAAAGTAGTTTTAATCATGTATAGTGTTCGCGTAAATATAAGAAACCATTAGGTAAAAATTAAAAAAATATATACCTAATTTTCAAACGACATTTTCTTACAATACATAAGTTGGACACTATGGTTTGGATTCCGGCATCCACACGGGATAAGTAATGATATAGCCCACATATAACTATTATAAGCCTGGGTGGCCGTATTTAATTTGTAAAATGCATCCACGACACAAAAGGGAATTCGCAAGAATTTTCTTAGAGGAGAACGGTATAAATAAAACAACCGGTACGCTCTTTAAAACAATATTTTTATTAATATCAACGCTTCATTTTCCATGCTTTATATTTTTTTATATAGAATAACGGTGACAAACGAGCACACAATCCACCTGATGGTAAGTGGATGCTGTGGCCCATAGACATCTACATTTGTCTTCAATTAAGAATCAAAATGCAGATGCGTTGCCAGCACTGAGGACAGATGTGGAATGCCTCGTTTCCAGTAAAAAGGGTCTTCTGTTCTCTACACTCACTATACGAAACACAGCAGCATTAAGTATGCTATTTTACGCTGGTATTCCGTGACAGCGTGGTCCTACCCCGGTCGAACCGACCTATTCATGCTGCAACCACAATATAGCTGCCGCATGGCTCTACCACATAAAGTTTATATTAGCTAATATATTAGCTTAACCTGTATAATGAACGGTATTATACAGTTTATTGTAATCATGAGCATCATCATAATTACAATCTATCAAATTAAGGTAGGGACTATCACAGCACTTTAAATTGTCATACGTGCCTTTTTGATACATTTTGGCTTCACACAACAGAGTGAAAAGCACCATTCACTCTGTCTTGCTCTTAGTTCTATATCCTTACTAATGTCTAACATCCCTGCTAAACACATAGCCTAAATACACAAACCTGCTCAACTAACCTTCTATTCTTATTTAAAATCTGTATTACTTTCTTCTTTTTTGAAAACCATCACTTTCATTTTAATTGGAACAACAAGCAACAACAACACAAACAACATACAAGTGTCTATAAACAGATTGATGATATGATAAGCCACAAGGAAGCTACACAGCCCTGTCTTAACCTTTATAAATGCCAAACCAGTCTGTTTAGTATGTTATCCCTTTAGAGAAATCTAAAAAAATAAATGAACATTGAAAAAAAAATGGTGTGAAGTTAGCCACGGAATACTAATCGTGCAAGCTTAGCATGCATCTGAACAGTAATACTTGTCATTTTCCTCTGCAAGATTGTTAATGACTCTGAGACCCATACAAACTCAAACGAACTTTTATTTTATTTTTGAATTCAATTTATATTTATCTGAAACAACCGCACCGTTATTCAAGGAAATAAATATAAGTGAAACGAACTTGTAGTACCTTAAATGGCGGCTTTAAAAATTAGATGATTTTTTAAATAAACAATTTACGTAGCTATTTCTAGCTTGCGGCAAGGACATACCGCATACCTATATTATATTTATTAGTGTTCTTACATTGAAGTCACTATCTTGAACTGACCAATAATCAATAAAATTTTCAGATGCAAGAAGCTGTGTGACTTGCGACAAAGTATTAGAAGAGTTGGAGAAGATTGACGATGACACGGACACATTCGGCGTTGACTTCGTCAAGATCAACGACAAGCGGCTGGCGAAACAGTATGGCATCACGAAATTCCCCGCCCTCACGTACTTCCGTGAGAAGGAACCGATTATTTACGAAGGTAAGATGAGAGATGAGTAAGCTCGTTTTTTTTGTATTCTAAATACTCTTGTAATATTTCTATATTTGTATAGTCCAAATGCATGTCAAATTTATTGTTAGATACAATTGAATCCATATTTGTGAAATGAAAATTTTTGATTTTAATTTGCTCAAACCGCGTATATGTACAAATCCTAACACATAAAACTTTTTTGTTTCATTAGGAGATCTCATGGATGAAGAAAGCGTCCTGGATTTCTTGACGAGTTTAGAAGCAATGGATCTTCCAGACCGGATAGAAGAAGTCAACCAAAAAATCCTCGGAAAAATTATTGAAGACACAGAATACGTAGCCGTTCTGTTTTGTGAGTATTGAACACATATTTGCGGGTTTTTTGTAATTTAACCAGTTCATCGGCTATTGTGGTAAAAAAATTTGAGCTATTTTCTTAACTAACAAATTAAAAATGAACTGTAGAATTCTAGCTATCAAGTAGTTATTTTACACTCTTGGCTTAACTTAATTTGTAGTCAAAACTGATTTAAAAAAAAATAATTGTGCCGTGTGTTTTACTGTGTTTTTGACGTAGGTCCTGATCTCAAAACATGCGGTCCGCTGACGAGTAAGTAAGGTTTTCAGCTCACGGCATGAATTTTAATGTCGATGTGGCTGTGAGTGTTAGCTTTCTAGAATAGCATTTTTTAAAATAAATAATTCAGATTGGCTTTCCGCTTGCAATGAAGGATAAAATCGAAGTCCAAGAATTTATAAAAATGTCAACCGAAGAACAACTGAGGCATTTGTTGCAGCGTCGTACGATTAATTTTGAACATTTGGCTTGCGTCGGAGACACAATAGAGTGATTCAATCGATAAAACAGATACACGATAGATTACCTTATTGGCACTGCATAATCGCTTTTCTTCGTTTACTCATTGTTTGCTATCTATATGGACTATCTTTTGTCTATCGCTCTTCTATTGTTGCCTTGAAATATTACTTCAAAGCACTATCTGCATGCCCATCCGGTGTAAGAGAAGGCTAGAATCAAAATCACGTTAGCATTATCTGGCCGTGCGTCGAGCTATTTTAACCAAGCTATTTCTGTCTCGCCAGCCAGCTCAGATTGACGGACCGACGTGTCACGAATACGTCGTCCGTATAACATTCCCTGTTCATTTAAACAACGTCAATACCACAAGAAGTTATTTATTTTTTTCTTTCCCATAATTACGACTATGGCTAAAAAGATAAATATCATTATAATCTTCTATTTGATTGTTCAGATGACCTTGACCTTAATATTTAATGAAAGATGATCATTGGCGAGTAGATAGAGTCATGTTCTATTAAGGTGAATGATTTTATCGTTCACTGCTCTATTTTAAGCATAGTTATGTAGAAACCCATTATATTAGAAAATCTCTGCAATACAAATTATTAAGACTGCTAAATTCACTGTTGCGCTGTTAGAAATGAAAATAGAATAGATATTATAGCGGATTTTAGTGAACCCTGCGAAATTTAGGTCAATATGCACATTCAAATATAATATATAGCCTGATTCTGAGCACTAAGCACAACTCCTGCTTTTACTGTCACGTGCGATATATGAAAGTAGAGGTATCGTCTCGTTTCAACGTTTGAAGGTCACCACTGCACCACACGGTCTATTGTAGTGAACACCTTATTAACTTTCTTTTTAACGCACTCAAATCACTGAGCATTGCGCTTAACTGCACTGCTTCAAGTCCTTTATGGAGCATGACAGGAGCAAGGACTTTGTAGGTATGGATGTGATATTTAAAATCTAAGAAAATCAATCGACGTGTTTCAGACAAGCCTGAGTGTAAGAAATGTGCAAAAGCCCTACAAGAGCTGGAGAACATAGATGACGAAGCTGACCAGCTTGGTATCGGCTTCGTGAAGATCCACGACGAGGAGCTAGCTGAAGAGTACAGTCTTGGCGAATTGCCAAGACTGGTGTACTACAGACATCAAATACCTATTATATACGAAGGTTTGTGACTCAATTTTCGACTATTATTATTCACTTTAGCCGTGTAGTGGGGGCGTTAGAGAATCTTCTACCTTAAATCAGACCAAGGGCGTTGTAAGAGGTGATACAGTGAAACTGCGATAAGAAATGGGCGGCAGCATTTTCGCGGTAATAGCTTAAGCTAAAAAAAACTACGGTTGCCAACCTGCCTGCCAAGCGTGGCCCTGGCAGTATGACAAATACCCCCCTTCGAGGCAATCGATGTTCAGCAGGTAGACTTTCAAAAAAATCTGGTTTTTACGGATTTCATCGCGTATATTACCTTTTTTATATACCCGACGTTTTGAGCGCTTTACAGCACCCATGGTCACGGGGGAGACTGAGATGATCAACGTCCAAATGTCAAAATTAACTGCGGTTACCACAGATTAAAATTATATTAAAATGTTATATAAAAACTTTAATATGAGCGATAAAATCCGTATAAACTAGTATTATTTAAATGTGTAGTGTTCGCGTAAATACAAGAAATCATTAGGTAGACTTGTTATAGGCTGAAATAAAGAACGACTTAATAATTGTTTGATGTTAAACTGGAAAAATTTATTAATAATAATTATCAGTTACGACTATATACTAAAATCTGAAGTCTCGAAAAAGAGCGATGTTAAATGAAACTTTTTCAAATGCAAACCTTAATATAATATATATTTTATTATTTCAATATAGTAAGCATGCTAAAATCTATTATAACACAATAGACAAAATTTAGATATTTTTCATTAGATTTTGTGACACATTCCTATTATTATTTTATGGTAAAATTGCAAAATTTAGACTTTTAATTAAAAGTAACAGGCGACTTAAAGGACTAAAAATATGAAAAACTTTCATAATAGCTTCAGCAGACAGTGCTAAGACAGATTAGTTTATATCAGTATTAAAGACGACCTTTAATTTTTATAAAAGTTTATTTTATATTAAAAGAGTCAACTTTTGAGAGGACTAAGAAATTACACAAGCTAATGTTGTCTATATAGTAATATTATAAACCACATTCCCTATTAAACTTCCCTTGGGGGTGCAATCTTTTCTTCAAATTAATATGAACCCACTCCTGAAGTGCAACTATTTAATAAAAAAGTAATCACTAAAATGAGTTCAAATTTACAAAGAAATCATGAAGAAATCAATGAGAACCTTCTCCTTTTTTGAGAGAGGGGAGCGTGCTGTTTTAAATTGTGTGTATTGTTAGATAGGCGGTATGCTCACCAAGTTCAATGTTGCATATCAGTTGGCGCATCCTTGAAAATGCTACTTACATCCTAGTGTTCTTTTAGAGACGCTGCTAAAGGAAAAATCTATTTTATGTGTACAGCTAAAGATATTGTGTATCACTTTGTAGGTGAATTGAGCCGGGAGGAAGACGTGCTGGAATGGCTGATAGCGAATAAGTCAACCGGGGATGAGGAGGACGTCATCGAGGACGTAACTGCTAAAACGCTAAATACCCTCATTGGCAATGTAGACAACCTTGTCGTTTTGTTTTGTAAGCAAACTTTGGCTATTTTATATAAAAAAGATAAATAACCTTGAAAGAAGCCCAATATAATAATTAAAATTAAAAACAAGAGTCTTTCACATCATGATGGCATTTTAATAATATAAATACAAAAAGGAAAAATTAAGGGCTTGAATTAAATTTGGCATATTATATAACTAAAATTAAGACATAAATCAAACTGAAATAAACTACATGCAATAAAGTATTATGTTGTTAACGAAGAGGCATGTTCAAAGCTTTATTTTAAACTTTTAGACGACCATGGCGATGAAGAATCGATGACTGTTTTGGTTGAGCTCGAAAAGATAGACGATGATTGCGACCGCCACGGCATTCAGTTTGTGAAGATCGATGATAAGAGAGCTGCAGAAGAGTTTGGCATTGATAATGTTCCAGCCATCGTCTATTTTGAAAAGCAGATCCCTAATGTTTACGACGGTAAGAATTCGTTATATAACATAGTGCATACCTAAATTATAATAAATCATTATTAACTTTATCGTATTAACTGAAATCAAAAACAGGTGACCTTGAAAATGAAGAAGAAATGCTAGAGTGGCTTGTTGATCAACTTGAAAAGGACGAAATTGAAGATGTTACTGATGAAATGCTGGATCGTTTGATCAAAGATGGAAAAACTGTAGCAGTCTTATTCTGTAAGAATATTTAGAAACTGTTGTGTTATATTTATCAACATCTTTCATCGTTATAATAACCTTTTTCTCTTTTGTTAATTGTTTACAGACGATAACAATGATCGTAAATCGCAAAAGGTTCTTAATGAACTAGAAAACATTGATGATGAATGTGACCAACTTGGAATTGCGTTTGTTAAAATCGACAACGATGAAGAAGCAAAAGAATACGGTATTGAGAAAGTCCCTACGTTATTGTACTTTGAAAAGGGTATTCCAACATATTATCAAGGCAATCTTGAAGAAGAAGAAAAAGTTCTTGATTGGCTAAAGCATCAAAGTGAGAGCGACGAAATCGAGGACATTACGGATGAAATGCTTGACCTCATGATTGAGAAAATGCCATATGTCGCTGTTCTTTTCTGTAAGTATTGTTTTATAAACTTTAAAATATGTAAATAAAATAATATATTTTTAGTTATTTCTAATGTACAAATATATGAAAATACATTCTTCTTATATTGTTTTCGTAATGCTGGGTTTATTTGCAACAAGTTTTAAATAAACTTTATAAATAATATCTACAGTGCAAGATATATTACCTTCAGAACTAGCAAATAAATGAAATATAGTCCTTCGAATAATTTTCAGATGATCGAGACCAGAAAAAAAGTCAAAAGATCTTGGCTGAACTGGAGAACATAGACGATGAGTGTGATCAGAATGATATCGCGTTTGTTAAGATCGACGACCCTAAGGAAGCTAAAGAATATGGTATTGAGAATATACCAACAATGGTATTTTTCGAGAAAGGTATACCACACATTTATGACGGCGACTTAATGAAGGAAGATGATCTGCTGGGTTGGTTAATCCATCAGAAACGTCACAGTGAAATACCAGAAGTCACCGATGAAATGATGGATAAATTAATAGAAAGTACCCCGTATTTGGCTGTAATATTCTGTAAGATTATTTTAGCTTCTTTTATATTCTATATTTTATTGTCTACCATCCCTGCTTAATATTGATCCTACAAAAATACATGGACTCGTCCGATTGCTCAACTAACTCTCCTACTATTCTTATTTCACATATTGTTTTATTTTCATCTTTTTTCAAAAACATCATTCCGTCAAAGTTGCGTTCACTTTTATTCCCTTTTCTATAAATTATACGTTCATTAATGTAACCATCATTTTAAAGACGCAAATATGACTTGATCGTCAGCCTACAATGGCATTTAATGGGTCACTCATCCATTCTTAATCTATATTATTCGACTTTCAAAGTTTTCAAAACAGTAGATTGAATACACACGGGAAGACTACACAAGGCTGTCTGATAATTTATGGACGCTAAACCTAACTGTGCAGGGACCGCTGATCCCGACTCAAGCACTAGAGTCTATATAAAGATTTTAACGGCTGTATTAGGCCAGCGCTCAGTCTAAACGTGGCCAGCGTATGCCATAAAACAACCCGATGTAGTCTTTTTATGTCTAAATATTCACAGAATACTTTCTGGTTTTTAGCCAAAAAAATATTGACATGACATTATGCTGTAACACTTTTCCCATAAAGAGATTAAGACCACTGCGACACTTTTCCCTTTAACCCTTAAACCAGTCTCCGCTTAAGTTTTAAGCATTAATTAAAGAAAATGTACAGCGGGTTTAAAACCACTCTCTCTTAGTCCTCAGAATATCTAATAATACTTTGTCATACAGACGTCTTACTTCTTTCATCCATACTTATCTCGCTACCTTCACTCTTTTCTTTAAAGTTTCTGATTCATTCAATGTGAAAAGGCATGTTAAGTACCACATGCCTCCTTATATTTAAACACGCTTTTAAAATATTGCTCTTTAAAGCCATTTTACACTTTACACTGGTATAAAAGCCACTTTCTGGCAGTTCTAACCAGTTTATCAGAACATTTTGATATTTTTTTTGGAAATTATCAGATAGTATTTTCGCGCTAATACCTATGCTAATAACCATGCTACTTTTTTTGCTTCAGTTTTCATTCGTAAGACACGAAATACCTCAGCATAACGTATGATTATTCCTGTTATTTATTTTTTTACCACAGTGCTTTCAAATTAGTTTTCCTGCCACCACTTTGAGAATGCTCGAGCTCGCATTACCCTTATAACCTAAATTATAAATAGAATATAAAAACGACCAAATCTCTCTTAACTTTATCCGACACAGTCTCCAAGTCTGAATTTTTCATATCACAATTTTTTCTCTCAATTTACATTAATACTTATCCAATACTTATCCAATCCGTCACAATTTTTTCTCTCAATTTACATTAATATTTGTCTTTCACGCCTTCTCCTTGTAACATTTCTATTCTTATACGCTATAACGAACTGGTAGCAACAAATTTCTGATACTACCAACATCTAAACACACCATTAAATCTACGATAAGACCAAGTAGTGACGGATCATACCCTTCGTTGGAAGCGCGGTAAATTCTTATATCTAAAGTAAGGTCTTATATCTACCACAGCGATTCTTATACTTCCATTCACAAATATGAAATTTTTCATAATTTATCTTTTGCATTTGTCCATGTATACGTACGAGTTTTCTCATGACAACAGAAAGTATCCGTCAAAACAAGTGTTGTGAGGAGGTTTTCATTATTTTCATTCACACATTCATTACCAAAGGTTATATGAAAACACTGATTCATTTTGCCATTTTTTTTAAATGAATATGTTCAATGCCCGGCTGAATTAAGTTATTTTTATAAGGTATTTCTATGTAGTTCTTGTTTCCCACAAAATTATGCTAAGGTTCCTTGGGCAACTTTCTTTAATAATGTAGAATTTCTTCAATACGGATGTGTATCTCGACACGTCATTCTGTACACTAAATAACAAAAAAATATCTATCGTTTTCTTGCAGACGACAAAGATGATAAACAAGATATTCGGATTCTAAACGAATTGGAAAACATTGATGATGAATTAGAAAAAGAGGGAATTGTTATTGTAAGAATGGATAATGAAGAAGAAGCTAAACAATATGGTATAGACCACCTTCCAACTTTAATTTACTTTGAAGAAAATATACCCGCTGTATACGAAGGCGACCTTATGAATGAAGAAGAAGTACTAGAGTGGCTAATTGAACAGAAAAATAGTGCAACTATTGAAGAAGTGACAGATGAAATATTGGCTGACCTAATCGAGGAGCATGAATATGTGGTTGTTTATTTTAGTAAGTTCAAGATTTAAAGGGATTTCTAGCCCGTAATATACCTAACAACATAACATAATCTTAATTTTATATGAACAATTTTGTGTTAATATTTTACTGACTCTATTCAGGTGGCAAATGTGAAGAAGGCGAGGAATGTGATAATATTTTAGACGAACTGGAAAATATTGACGACGAATTAGATGAAACAGGCATTATATTTGTTACAACTGAAGATATTAACCTTGCAAAAAAATATGGTATCAAGACCTTCCCCACACTTGTTTTCTTCCGAAACAAAGATCCCCTCGTTTACAAAGGTTGGCTAATTTAATTTTTTATTTTTGTGAAAACATTTAAGATTTGTGGACTAAAATTGCATATCTATTATCATAGGTGATATCGAAGACGAGGATGAAGTATTGGCTTGGCTGACTGATGAAAATACTCTCGAAATTCCTGGAAAAATCGAGGAAGTTAACTCCAAAATGTTAGAAAAAATTTTAGAAGAGAACGATCATGTTGTTGTCTTCTTCTGTAAGTATTTTAATTGCTTACTATGAATAAAACAAATTTTTCTCCTATTCATTGCTTATGATAATTTATGTTCACCTATTTATAACTTCAGATAGGGAAGGTGATAAGAAGTCTCAAAAAATATTGAGTGAATTAGAGAACATTGACGATGAGTGCGAAGAGAAAAATATTGATTTCATCAAAACATCTGACGAGGGCGTTGATAAAGAATATGATCTTCCTGACTTACCAGCCTTGGCCTTTTATCGCCACAAATTCAGAACAATTTACGATGGTGATTTGATGCATGAAGAAGCCATCCTGAAATGGGTATTAGAGCTTCATGATTCTCAACCAGATGTTATTGAGAGTGTCGATAGAAAAACACTAAAAGATCTCATTAATGACGTGGAACATCTTGCCGTATTCTTTTGTGAGTAAATATTGTTTGATTTTAGTTAATCTATGTTAATTTAAAAATGAATAAGCGAACTTTTTCTCCAAATGTCAACCCCGCCTCCGTGTGGAACATTGAGCTGTCAGACAAATGAGCCTGTGACGACCGAAAAACTGTGCAAATTTTCAAAGGCTAATCCAAAAATTTGGTAATAGGCATTACCAGTTCTTAGTATATGACTCTGCACTCGCTCAGCTATTGTAATTATTAGCAATAGTTAGTTTTGGAAAAATTAAAAAAACCAATGTATTCCATTATCTCGGTTTATAACTCAAATCCCAGCAGGATATGGAAAAGATAATGGAAGTTACCCTGCGTGATAAAATTCGTAACGAGGATACCGCAGAGGAACAAGAATAACTGACATAGCACAGAGGTTTTAAAGAACCGATAACTAATGCGAAAAAATATTCTCGAGTGGCAGCCGAAGTCGTACTGGCAAGTGAGGTGTTGGGAGACTCCCTACTAGATGAAGTGATATCATGATGAAATACGCAGGGAGTCACAGCATGTAGTTGGCTCAGGACTGCTTTATGGCAATCTATAAGAAAAGCCTATTTTCAGGAGTGAACTTCACGGGCTGTAAAGATGACAAAGTTAGAGAAACCATCATCTTATGTCGCTAAATGCTTATTGTAAAACTCGGTTAAAAACTTTGACCTCACTGGATAATCCCTAAAAAATTGAATAACAACCATAGCACAATCAATAAATGTTGTCCGTTTTAATTCTACAGATAGTGAAGATTGTGACACTTGTGATGATGTTTTGGAAGAATTGGAAACAATCGATGACGATACTGACAAGCATGGTATTCAGTTTGTAAAATCGAAAGATTCAAAATTGGCATCTGACATTGGCATTTTCAGTTTTCCAGCGTTAGTTTACTATGAAACTGGTGTACCCATAATGTATGATGGTAAGTAGTTTTTTACTATGGCCAATAGAAAAATTATTACTACTTAATATTATATGTTATTTACCGTTAGGAGTAGAATATATATATATATATATATATATATATATATATATATATATATATGCGCTTAATACAGAAGGACAAGCAATTAAAAACATACCCGTCTTATTAGAAAAAGTAAGTCATAATTAGTCTCAGACTTAAACTAGAATTTGATTCACGAAAGAAATTCCGCGGAAATATGTGAACCAAAATGTAAAGTACGAAATTTGACAGCAAATGTTGAATTTCGAAGATGGTGGCCACAGCTAAGTATAGTTTAAACCCGAGACTATCGATAAAATCACGTTTGGTAATATTTTTTGTATCAATATCAATTTTAAAATGTAGACTATGTATTGACCAATTTTAAATTTTACATATGAAGAAATTTTTAAAATACGCTGACTTTAATTAAAACTTATATTATATGTATTCACTATATTTTATTTGTCATACTAAGTTTTTCTTCTTCTTTTTGGCTCGTAAAACTCTTTGCTGGACAAATGCCTCTCTCATTTATGTCTTGCTCTTTTAACTGCGCTGATAGTCGCAGATCTGGGTATTTTATGTCTAACGTTAAGAGAATAGTTATATTATTATATTACTACGGCAATGTAACTATTCTATTAACGCACAGGCTCTCCCATATTCGCTTCTTACGACATCCATAGTACGAAATGACTTGAAAGGTTCTCTTACACTGTCTCAACACGGCTTGAGTATTTAGTAGTCACCCTAGGTATTTAGTCACATTAATATTTAAGAAATATTCTTAATTGTTTTCCCTGTTTATAGGTGATTTAAAGAATGAAAATAAAGTTCTCCAGTGGATTGTAGATCAAAAAAGTAAGAATCCACATCCATTTTAAAATTTATGATAATTATTTATTTAAAGTAATTTATTATCTTAAATTGTTATTTGAAAAAATATGCATGACATCATTCTATATATTTGTAATAAATATATTTATTATGCCTTGATTACTGAATGTTTGAGCTACGTCATTTTGCATGACAGTTACTAATGCCTGCAGGTGAAGATAGCCACCGAAAAAAGTATACTACTAATTTTAAATCAATGGCCAATGCAGATGGTGATAAAGCCTCACGTCTTATGCAAAATAATCGCAACACAAAAAATATAAAAATTAATTCACGGAAAGAGTCCGATTGGAAAAAAGATGGTGATGATGAGAAAGAAGATGATGATGGAGATGATGATATCAGTATCGAAGATCACTACAATTCAAACGACGTTGATGATGATAGAGATGATGACGATGACAAATTTGACGATAATGACATTGATAATATTGATGATGACGACAATGATAACGAAAGTGATGATGAAGATGATTATGATAATGATTATGACGATGAGGAAACAGATAATAATGAAATAGACAGGAGTATTGATATTGAAGATAATGATGATGAAGAAGAAAATGATGGTTTTAGTTATCTCGGTAAAATAAATGAAATTTTAACAGGTAAATTGATAGCTTTGGACCCTTAAGATGACCCTGCACAGAGGCACCAACGTACCCCAGTCACACATCTGCATGGTCGAAAAATGGATCCCGCATGGGTCCTTAGTAGCTATCGCCTGCAGTCATTCGCGAACGCTTACCAAATTAAATGTTTTAGTTCTTATACTAACATAATTTTTAGAATTAATAGCGCGCATAACAAATAGGCGCATAAATTACAAATATGCACAGTATTAATTCTCAGTTAACTATTGCTGTATTCTCGATTTTTACGGGTTATAAACATCAAATTTTTACTGACTGCAGGCGATCGCTGTTTCTACATTGGATTGGGGGCGAAACCGGCTGTTCCTAAAATGACTTATGAACCCTACCAGTGCTGTCCTACTAAAGTACAGAGCCCGACAAAAGTAGCCAAAGCGACGCCGACCAAGATCCCGCCAAAGAAACTCGAGAAGAAGCAGCCCACATTGGAAAAACCCACTAAGGGTAAAAATAAGGCTCTCGCAGCTAAACCAGACAGACCGTCTAAAGGAAAAAAAGGTTTATTCGGCTCTGACAATATTTGGTGGTGGTAAACAATTATTGTTGGAACCATTATTATAGATGATGTTGTTACCAGATGTGTACATGTATAGCATCAAGTGGACACGATTTTCTACCGTCAAGTTTCTATTCTATAGCCGAAAATAATAATTTGCCCTTAATTTCGCCGTCAAACTAATTCTTCTAAATCTATTTTCACTGATATCGTGTCTCTTGGTCCTTGGTTTACATCTAACAGGGTTGTATGTTGTAATAATAATACGTTTCACATGATCTATTTTCACCAAATTACAATAAGGTTTTTGTTTTTAATTACATACTTATTTACGATCACAACCCAATCAGATTTAAAAAAAGTATTACGCTACTGATATGATTAAAAAGCAAGGGAATTTAAGGAACTAAATATTGGAATACTTTATCACAAGCAGGTGTACAAATCTTTATTTCGGCAGTAATAAAATTTAATTCCAATATTTAGACCCTTATAGCAAGAAACGTCAAAATGTAGGCATTTTTTTGTATTCATGTTGCCGTATCATCTTGAAAGACTTATTGTTGTGTAAGTATTTCATATTCATATAGTTATCTAGTCTTCATAGATTCTCATTATTCTGTAACTCATTTGGTATACAACTATTTATTACTATATTTAAAAGTTTTAATATATCACATTATTAGATCGGAACGAACGAAATTGAAAATAAACGCAATTTCAAATTTGTTCATTTTTCTTGTTATTAAATGTATTTACAATATTTTATTTCAATACAGCATAAGAGCATGCTACGAGGTGTTTGATAAATAAGTGCGAAAAATAATTGTTTTTATAATAAATAAATGATCTCGCACGAACTACGCTCATCATATTTATTAACTAGTATAAGCTCTAACAAGGCTGGTGTTGTGAAACAAATTACGATAGATTGTATTGTTTGAATTTAGCATGGATGTTTTATAATTTATCTGTTACAATTAATTGTTGAAATGGCGCTGATACAACAATATTTTTGTTAAATAAATACAATTTTCTATTATTGTATTTATTATTACTCATTTCACTCACGAATGATGTCAGCATGGTAATTGCTGTAGTAATGTTTAAGCATGCCCATTTTCGGATATCAATGGTAAGTTTTCGTAATATTCAAATGGATGTGGTTTCTTTACAAGCTATTTTATTATTAATGTCTATTTAACATTTAAACATAGAAGTGATTTTAAAACATTCTAGGAAATTTACTGGATGAATCAGAAGTACTTGACTGGATGGTCAAACAGAAAGAGGACGAAAGTATTGAAGAAATAGATAGAGAACAATTGTTTAAATACATCGAAACAAAGGAATTTTTGGCCGTTGTTTTCTGTAAGTGAATATTTTAGTTTAAAATTTAATTATATTACATCGTAGAGTTTTCAGGATTTAATTTCATAATCCTTTCAGATAAAGAAGATGATCCAGGAAGCCCAAGAGTTTTAAGACACGTAGAATTAATCGATGATGAAGCTGCAGAATATGGCATAAAAATTGTTAAATGTAGCGATCGCTTAATGGCAAAAAAATATGGCTTTCGTAATCCGCCTGGCATCACATATTTTAGAAAAACAAAATATATTAACTATGATGGTGATATTGATGACGAAGAGGAGATTTTAGATTGGTTGACAAATCCGGAGAACATGGAATTAACTGATCACATAGAAAAAGTTAATAGAAAAATGTTTCAGAAAATAAGGCAAACTTCTGATTATGTTGCCGTGTTCTTTTGTGAGTTTTAATTAATATTTTTTATGGTTGAAATGTTTTTCTGGTATACCTTTACCAATGGCATATTTTTGTTATTATCTGAGAGCATGGGTGCGACTGGTTTGCACAACTTATTTCAACGATTAGTAGCATTTACATTAGTATTATATAATTTACTCTAATCGAAGTATCCAAAAGACTAACAACTGAAAAACTTATTTTCTTTTATGCCTCGACAGTAATGTATATTTATAGTCAAGTTATCTTTTCTACCTGGGCGGCATCCTAACAATGAGGTATATGCTCACTTTATTGTTTTTGAAATTCAAACCATATTGCACATAATACATGTTTTAGACAGTAATGACTGCAAGCAGTGCCCTAGAGTATTGGCCGAGATTGAGCACATCGATGACGATGCCGATGGCGCTGGTATAAACTTTGTGAAAATCGACGACAAGCAAATGGCTAAGGAATACGGAGTTTTCGCTCTACCCGCAGTCTTGTTCTTTAAGTTGGGGTCTAAAGATCCAGTCATATATGCAGGTCTGTTCATTTATATTATTACACAACTTAATTTTGTTATTTGTGTTTTACATATGTGTATATATTACAGGTGATTTATATGACGAACAACAACTGCTAAGTTGGTTATTGACTCAAAAAAATCCTGCCGGGGATGTTATAGAAGCACTCGAAGGAAAGGATTTATTAGATTTGATAGAAGAGTCTGGATCTGTAGCAGTTTACTTCTGTAAGTTTCCATATCCGAATTTTTATAACAAATTACGCTGACGAAGATCTATTTAATTTTAAATCTCTATTTTTGCTAATGTCACTGTCCTTTTTTGCTTTTGAAAATCGAGTTGATGTTAGCAGCTAAATCCTTTGTATTTGGTTACTAGCAATCTTCAATAAATTTAAATACTATGCAACTACGTAATTATTATATGAGTAACAGCTTTATATTTTAATAGGGAATAAAACATTATGTGAACTTTGCAATTTGAGAGCAATGCAAAAGACTATAAGAAAAAAAGATAGAGGACACGAAGATGAGGAAGGGCAGGAGCAAGAGGGTACTCCTATCCCTAAAAATATGTCGTTTTACCTCCTGTCACAAATATCCCAATGTTTAGTTTCTTTACCTCTGTTGCATGAAGCATGCTTCACGTATATTTACACATCGACAACAAAATACATTCATAATAAGACCTTATTTTGGATGTATCATGAATAATATCATAAATAAACATCGCTCGAGTGATTTATATTAGTTATTCATTTTAGATGAATGTTACCTTGTAGTGGTTCGTTTGTTCTGTAGACATCTACGTGTGTGAATTTAATTTCTAATAATAATTGTTTAGAAATGTGTTGATTAGACACGAAGTGCTCCTTTTTCGAAAAGACAATCAGTAGTTTTTAAAAACCCATATTGTGCGTTTTTAAATAGTCGTAAGGTTTTTCTTGGCGATGTATTGGCACTAAAACACCTTACTATTTCAGATAGTCTTGACTGTGAGCAGTGCACAGGCATATTGGAAGAACTTGAAAATATCGATGATGATTGTGATAGACACGAAATAAAATTTGTAAAGACTCAAGATTACTCAATTGCAGAAGCTTACGGAGTAACCGATTATCCTGTTCTAGTATATTTCGAACACAATGTTCCAAATGTCTATGAAGGGTCTTTGGCAGAGGAAGAGGAAGTTCTTCAATGGCTAATTACACAGAAAACTGAAGATCGTATAGAACTTATAACCAGAGTAATGTTGGAAAAAATGGTTGAAGAAACACAGTATTTGGCAGTTTACTTCTGTAAAGAAACTTCATTTCTTTAGTGTTATCTTAAACTGACTAATAATTTTGCAAATCTGAAATAAATATTATTTTACAGATAAATTGAATTGTCACATTTGTGACCACATACTTGAGGGATTGGAGAAAATTGACGACGAATGCGACGTATATGGCATTCATATGGTAAAAATTCAAGATCCACAACTTGCAAAACGATATTCCATTAAAACTTTCCCCGCTATGGTATACTTCCGGTAATAAAATATGCTAAGCTAATTTATATTTTATATTTAAATGTCACAAAGTGTATTAATTTACATTTGTTACATTCAACAGCAACGGCAACCCACTATTGTTCGAAGGTGATTTACAAAATGAGGAATCAATTTTAGAATGGCTTATAGATGATGATAACCGAGAACTAGCAGACGAAATAGAATCGGTTAATGAAAGGATGCTTGAAAGATTGCTTTATGAATCACACTTATTAGTAGTCTTTTTTTGTAAGTATATTTTAGAGGATATTTGAATAGTGTTGACACAGAAATATTAAGACTTTTCTTCTCCTCATCAGTCCAACCTGGACCTCTACCCTAGTAGATAAGGTTTGCATATAAGATTTTCTGGACTTCTTCTTTAGTTGCCTGTTATGACAGCCACGGCATGAGAGAATTTATGATTTCTCTTTTGGTGCTGTACAAATTTATTACGGTTAAATTACATAAGTGTAATAATATTTATGTATTTTAGATGATGACGAAGACTGTCCAGAATGCGAAGAAATTCTTGAAGCTTTGGAGCAAATTGACGGTGAAGTTGATCAGTACGGCATTGATTTCGTAAAGATCGCAAGCATTGAAGCGGCAGCTAAACATAATGTTGTAAACATACCATCATTAGTTTATTTTCGCAAACGAGTTCCAATGCTTTACGACGGTGACTTGCATCAAGTTGATAAAGTATTACAGTGGCTTACTTCTCAAGATGTTTTTGAGATTAAAAACGAAATTGAGGAGGTTAACAGAAAAAATGTTGGATAAGCTTTTAGACGAAAACGAATTTCTGGCAGTCTATTTTTGTAAGTACTTTGCTTTTTTGTGTGATATGTGTTCTTTTCACAAAATAATTTTTTCTGTATGTGTTTTAGATGAAAAGTCTGCAGAAAGTCGAGCAGTATTAGATAAACTAGAAAATATAGACAGCGAAACGGACAATTTAGATATAACATTCGTGAAGATGCAAGATCCACGCTATGCACGTAAATGGGGTGTCACCAAATTACCGGCTATTGTTTACTTTAGGAAACGCTTTCCTAGTATTTACAGAGGTAAAAAAATCATAATATAACCGATATTAGAGATTTATATTACGTTCACACTTTAATGAATTTATTTGTTTTAGGTGATATTATGTCCGAAACCGAAGTATTGGAATGGCTTCGAAAGAATAGATTTCGACAACCCGAACTCAATATTTTTATGTACGCTTTAATAGCGCTTTCTGTAGCATTTGTCTTGTATACTGCCTTTTTGATGCAGTGTTTCAAACCATCTCCACCTACAGCCACGCAACATCCAAAACAAGCGTGAGGGAATTTCATCCCTCTATAGACTTACTTATGACTGTGACTGTGTAATAATTCTGACTTACATGTTATTCAGTTAACCACAGCGCTCTGATACAAAACTCAAGTGATTCAAATGAAGTGGGATTACAGTGTCATTTTGATACATCTATGCGTATTTGGGAACAAACTTTTATTTTGATAGTCGTTATAGATTTATATATTGATAACCATATCCCGTCACAAAAGTACTCGGAAGGACTTTAGGTTGATTGCATAACATTATATTATTATGCAATATTTCAGATGAAGAAAGTGTATTGTTCTTTTTTATTAAGTGACGGGTTGTGGCTACATTTTTCTTATTATTTTTGATGGTAAGTATATATATCTAAATTTTATAAAGTAAACTAATCCTAATTTTTAAGTATATATCAGGATTAACCTTTAAGGCTTTAACTGATATTACTGTGTGAGCACTCAATGCTCCGTTGTTTGCATTCATTATTGCAAGATTGATATATAAAATTAATATCATCGAAACGTGGTCAGTTTTCAACGATAACAAAAATAGATGACATTAAATATTATAGTTAGTGCCAAATCGATTGAGAAAAACGGACAATGACCTCAGATATGAGCCGAGTGTCAAAAGGCGTAACTTAAAAAATCTCAATTTAGATGTGATAACAATATTTAAATATTGATATTATTCATACTTCTAGGTCAGCACATACGTTTTGTTTTTTGTTTCTTAAATAATATTGTCTGTGGTTCCTATAAACATCGTAAAATCTTACGGTACACGCGAAAAATGTGTTATATTTTATATTTCAATTTATGGTAAGTAACGCAGCAATTCATTCAATAACAGTTTCATATTAAAAAAAAAAATATTTGAAGCAATATAATCACCATATTGAGCTTTTGCAAATTTATTCCTTTAAAATAAACAAAACGCGCGTTACGTCAGTTCGTTCTAAAAGAAACGTGAGAATGGCAGCCAGAGGATGCGTCACTTTTTTTTTGGCCGGTCCGCATGCACCGAATAAAAATAAAGTTCTTTTATAATATTGAAAATAAAGTTTTATCTTTTGAATAAGAGCGTACTTATTCGGTGTCGTTATCACTCCGATCTTTATATGTGTTATAAATTAATGCTTTTTGTTGTTAAATGAATAAAGTTCTTTATAACTATAGATGATTTTTCTTCCACAGCGATCTTTTACATAACTTTTTAATAATAGTTAATAAATATATATTATATCAATCTTTAAAAAAATTATAAAGAAAATCATTATAAATAAAGAAAGTACTACATATAAAAAGTGCATATATATTGAAGGTTTGTAGCCCCTGGTTAAACGACAGAAAAGTCATTGTCCGTTTTTCTCAATCGAATTGGCACGTACTATAGTTTCACCTTGTTTTAATGTTTATTACCTTGTACTATATGCCAATTTGTACTTAAGTTACGAATAACAGGGAATAAAATTCAAGATCAAACGGAAATACAAGATAATAGCTGACATACTTTTAAAATTAAAATGAATAGAATACATGAGTGTTAACACCATAGTATACTATAATACCGGACGATAACAATATTCTGTTCACCAGATGTCGCTAATCGGGCCTGAGTTGAAGTTATTTGTCACACAGTGGTAATGACATTGAAAAATTTCGTTTTAAAAAAATGGTTTCTATTGTATTTCTTATATTTACAGAAAACAATCCCTCAGTGGTGTGTTCTTTAATTTTTCACACGTTCTGCGATATTTCTTATCTAATCTTTAAATTCTTCTACTCTTAAGAATTTCCCTAGTTTAGTTTATCCATTTCTAATCTAATTAATATCAAATTTTAAATTAATGAACATTGATCTTTAAACTTTTCTAACAATTTTACTTTCCTGTTAGGAAATTTGTCAAATATATCACCTCTTCCAAAGTGGCGACGCGACGCTTTGGTGACAGGAAAAGTTGGTGTTTTAGCCACTTTAGTTAGATTATTTTATATAACACAGAAACAGAGTAATTTCGAGTCATCGTTTAAAAATTTTTATAAATGATTTTTACAGTGACTTGATAAATCGTCGACGTGAACTACATTTTATTGCTGCAATAACAACGAATAACTTTTTACATTTTCAAATTGTTAATCACATTTTATGTAATTGATAATTTAAATGATTTATTTTTTATTTTAACATGTTCAGTTTCACTGCTTTATATATTTTGTAGTTTTATGTATCCCATGGATTGATTTCGTATCGTAATCTCTGTATCATTCCCGTTCGTTCATAATTTAAAATCTTTAGTCGGTTTAGTAATTTATTTGTATTTTCTACTAAATTCAAATTATTTTATGGTTCACATAACATACGTTTCTTTATTTTACTCCCTCTAATGACAGTTAATTTACGTACAGCTCTTCGTTGTTAGAAACATCTGTCACGTGAAGACACATTTTTTATGTTGTTTTTAATTTCTATTTGACTAGCCCATCCCAATCTAGAATGCTAACCCATATTAATGTCTATACAATATACAGGATTATAACTAAACGGATTATAGGTAATTTTAATAACGATGCAAATTAAAATTTCTATCTCTATTGAATGTAAAAAAAAGGTATGAATTTTGTTCCATATTTAAATGCTTGCGACGATAATGCTCAATGGAGTAGACAGTTACGTGCCGAGGAGCGTGTGCAAGTTTCAAACGGTAATAAATAATGTTGTATATAAAATGTAAATATAATATTTAAATTACATAAAAATAGTAAAACTGTTTTGTTGTTTTATTTGTACCTAAAGTAAAGTTAAGTTACAACCTCTCCCACTCCTGTCCCACTCCTGGGCAAGGAAGTGTCTTAACTTCACACGTCTTCGAAATACCTCCTTTTTATTCCTCAGGCATGCTAGTTTTCTTACGATGTTTTCCTTCACCGCCGAGCAATTGCAATTAACAATTTCATTGGTGCCGGTGGGCATCGAACCTGGGTTGCTTGTGTACTGTGAAATTTACAGCGAGCGGCTTACTACGACGGCTTTATTTATTTTGTAGAAACCCTATTTGTTCTTTAAAACAACCTTGAATGAGGATACATAGAGAACAACACTAGCTTTTTTACATTCTACTTTATAATAAATAAGTTTCATTTCAGTGTCCTTTTCATTAAATGTTATTTATTGAAAGCCAGCCTTATTCCCTCATTGTGATATATTTTATAAATTAAAACGAGGTTATTAATCAAGAACCAATTACATTTCTTAAAACATGTTTTATACAAATTTCATACAACTGAATTTCACGTCATAATGACGGTGTTGATTGGAACACAATATATTTAAAAAAAATCAAATGTAATTTATTAAAACGAATAGAAAGCATTATGTAAAAATAAAAACATTTTTAACCCACTAAATACCACTCCACATAATTATTCTAAGTTTCAATTAATTTTTCTTTTTTTTTTAGGATGACTACAATTATCTACCTAAAATGGTACATGCAAATAGGTATTAAAGTTTTAACAATATTATGTATTTTAACATAATATACTATATTTATATAAGCGTGCATTGAGTTATATGTACTGTAATTGTATGTACTAGAGAAGCTATTCCGATCAAAAAATGTGCCCTACTCTGTATCCGCACATGCGCGGGAAACAGTAGTCAGTAGTCGCGCATGCGCAGTTGATATTAAACGCGCGAAAATAGTCATAATAAATAATTCTTTATTTAGCAGTTGTTAATCGAGTAAATTTTTTTAAATTTTTGTTTATTTAGCATATGTGCTAATTTAATATAAAATTATTATTAGCGCCGCTCCGCACTGTATGAATATCGAGCCACAATAACAGGTGTACGGATTGCAGTACAGTTCAGTTGAACATGTGAGTGTTCGGAATACCATATCCATGCTGGAGCCATGCTGCAATTATATTAGAAGTATAATTGCAGCACGAAGGTCGGCTCGACCGGGGAAGGACCACGCTCTCACAGAATACCAGCGTGAAATAGTAGCTTAATGCTGCTGTATTTCGTATGGTGAGTGTAGAGAACCGGAGACCCTTTTCTTCTGGAAACGAGGTATTCCATCTTAGACCTCACGGGTGCCACCGCATCTGCATTTTGATTTTTAATGGAGGATAAATGTAGATGTCTATGGGCCGCAGCAACCACTTACCATCAAGTGGACTGTGTGCTCGTTCGTCACCCTATTCTATAAAAAAAAAAATCTAGTGCGTAGTACATATATATCGATGTAAGCGTGTAGTGGCGGTATAAGAATATCCACTACCATATACCATTCCCTGGGATGACAGAGAGAAACTGAACCAGGAGACGGGCAGCAGCGTCTGTCCAATAACATCCAGAGAACAAGCTGCGGTAGTCGACCCGCATACCAAGCGTGGCAACTATATCAAATAATATTTGCCAAGGCCACAAGGGCCACAGCAACCACTTATCATCAGGTGGACTGTGCTCGTTTGTCATCCTGCCCTATAAAAAAATTCCTTTGTGAGCCATTGTAGAGGCAGGCCTATGTTCAGCATTGATTATGACAGGCTTAGGTTTTTACAGCTTTGATAGGCTGTAATGAATTAATGACGACCTTTATAAAAAATAAGGACTTGTTTCAACCCAGGAGCAAGATTCTTACGTTCCAAGAGTGCTGCACCTAATGGAAATTTTACTTTATTTTTTCATACTTTCTCTTGTGTTTCGTTTAAAAATATATTGGCTACCGATGATGTTTTGTTGAATTCAACAATTGATTCCCTTTGTTTCGTTACAAAAGTCTTGCGCTTTTAAAATGAGATTGTAAAATAGATATTGAAACTATTGAATAAACATTAATAGGAGGTTTAGTGGTATCTGATTATATGTTTTTATTCAATTTGAAGTCTAGCACTTTTGTGGCTTGGGTTAGGTCTGTACGGTAATTTTTAAATAAAAGCTGCATTATTAAGGCAAACTTATTATAATAGGCAACACGTTTAAAAATAATTATTTAGACATATCTACGCCTTATTAAATTTAAAACATATTAATATTAACAACTTACAAAATCTCTATAACTATATTGAGCAATATAAAAGAATCCGCGGAATTGCAATTAATTAAAATATAACCAGCAGTGTGATTGTGGGAATTGTTTGAAAATGGTTGCTTCAGAAATGACTCCGTTACTTTATTGTGATATTACTGTAAATTGAAACAAAATATTAATATAATCACTCTACTTATAATCGATACTGACACATTTACGAACTAGCTTTGAAACGAAGTCAACAACGATTCCTCTCAGAGATACATAACAAAAAAAAAATTAAATAATAATATTAAATACACAATTGCACTGCAAGTGTTCGTTAAGCAAATGGACTAAATTCCTTTACTAACGAGGTAAACAGAGAAAGTCACAAATACAAATGTACAATAATAACGCGCGCCATAAGAAGAAAATATAAATATAAAATACATAAAATGATCAACAGCAATGTATATATAATATATATATATATATATATATATATATATATATATATATATATATATATATATATATATATATAGCCACTAAGTGTTGAATCATTCTGTCTCCACTTTTACGTGAGCTTAGACCCTTTAATTGATTTCAAACTTTTATAAAGAAATATGTTTAGTAGAACAAAAAAGTGACCTCTACCGTGGCTGGTAGTCGTAAATCGTAATGTATTTTATGGCGGATAATACAGGTTAATGTCATCCTATTATAAATGCACATATTAATACATTTATTATACATATAACTTAAATTGAAAATTTTAGAAACACCCGAAACAAAAACAATTGATGATCTCCAAACGCCTAAAAGACTTTCTTGAATCATAGCTAAGAACACTCTCGATCAGGTCACCTTTCAAACAAAAAAAAAAAAACTAAATCTAAATTGGTTCATACACACCCACTACAAACATACAACACCCCTCTGTTTTCTTCGGGGGGCTAAAAACAAAAATGGAAATTGAAATTTCTATCCTTACGAGCTTCCGTAGAGCAACTGAACATAAAAACTGTAACCAGAGCAGACGTACACCAACTTCTATTGGGCAACTTCTATTCAACAGCAAATGCTGAGTCGAAGTCCTAGTTTGGCATCACCACTCACGGGTTTTTAATTTATCCTTTGTAAGTTTATAACGTAGGTGACAACATGAGTTTGATAAAATACTTTCACACTTTTGCACTTACTGTACATTTTCTATGATTGAGCATAGGTTTTTTTTTGAGTGTGTTACTTAGAACGTACAAAATAATTATAAAACAGTACGAAGAGAGAAGAAAAGAAAAGAAGCCGACTCCTTTTTAATAGGCTGGCAACGAATTTGTAACTCATATGGTGATGAGACGCATGCTCGTTTGGAACCTCCTATAAAAAGCAAAAAAGCACATTAAGAAGTTTGACCTCTTTTTCAATACTAATAGCCTTATTAATTACAATAGGATGAAATAGCGTTTTGTGTTGTTATTTTAAATAAATTATGGTTTCAGTCTTAGAATTTTAGAACCCTTTAGAAAAACCCAGATATGGATATTATAAATGTAAAAGTTAGGTACTTAGTTAAAAAGTTTGCACACTCTTCATTTCAGTGCGTGCATGCTGTAAAGTGTACCACAAAAAAGATCCTTCCATCTACATAATAGATCTGTTACTTTTTGTTTGTGCGGAATCTTATTTTCTCCTAGGTTCTTAAATAATATTTATATAGCAATAACATCACTAAGTAATAACTAGATGCATATTCTTATGATCCTTTGAGTATTTTGACTTTTCTGTTTCGAACAGCTCAACAAGCCGCTTCGTAAATTCCGCATGTACAGCGTCCACTTCCTCATCAGTAGGATCAAGGTTTCTCTCCACTTCCATTGGAACTCCAACTGAAAAAAATACAATATAAATATATAACATAAGGAAGTGTTTTAAAATCAAAGCACTTTTAATCAAATTTCGGAGAGGTCTGAAACGAAATTACTCTAAGTTATAAGTAACTTAATACTACGTGTAAATTAACTCAAATACTTATGCAATTTATGGAGATTTGCTGCTATAGCTCCGCTTGATTGTATGTGAATATACATATATATGTAACTCTTTGGGTTTGTTTATCTGTGAATGGAAAATGGACACACAGTCTTAACCCTATCTCTCTCCATTAGGTAGCCTACGCTTTATAAACTAAAGGATGATGTAAATGAACGAATCTCCGTTCATCTTTTAGGTGTTTTATCGATTAATAATTATGTTTATATAATATTTTCAATTTTATAAGTAGTAGGTGAAGTTATAAAAGAACAAAAATAATATGAAGACAGGTGCTTCACACCAGGCCCGGAAACTTTAATATGACGAGGTACCTAGTAAGTTTCTATGCGTTATAATCCGTAATGAAGATATCCAAGGTAAAACTAGATTAAAAAAATATTGGAGCAACCAGTCGTTCATATAGCTCGACAAAGCGACAACCGGTAGTGAAGATCGGAGTCGATAAATGCAATGTTACTACGGACAATTTTTTGTCGCAATCTATTAGGAAGGCATGTTTTTAGCAGAATTGTTAGTGATAGGTTGTAGTGATGATTGTGATGATATTGGCTTACCAACGGTAGTGACTGGAGATCGGAATGGTACAACACCATAGGAGTACTGGAAAATGCCACGGCCGATAGGGAACATTGGTGAAATGCCTGTCAGCTCGCGGACTTTCTCTTGGAACTTCCGCAGCAGACTGTCCCGTGGGTTATTCAAAGGGCGGAATACATCTGTTTCACCGAAAGAAAATACAGGAACCAAGGGGGCTCTGAAATAACGTAAAACGCAGTTTATTAAAATAAGCTCGTTGATTTTGATCGTATTTTACACAAAATATGGACAGAAAGATAATAAATTTTTTACTTTTTACTTTTAGTTGTATTTGTATTTGGTTTTGCACATTGCACAAATGACGTAAAAATAAGGCAGACATGCAGTCTTAGTTTTGGGGAAGAAAGTTTGTTGATTGACAGTCTCGTAGGTACTGGCAAGTACATTGTCGGGAGACCCCCACCCCAGCTGGATGCAGTGACTACGTGTGCACACGCATACAATCGATAGATGCAGGTGATTTGTGCCACTTTATGTGAGAGCTTCGATCAACAGTTGTATTGTTGATCGAAGTGTGAAAGGCTTATGTTGAGCAGTGGCCTTGTGATCGGCTGAAGTAGTGGAAGTTAGTCTTTATCTGTTTATTGCTTAGAGATGCAGGTGGCTCGGTGTCGTGTTTTGTGGCACGCTTTGCGACAGGCCTAATTCCAGCAGTGTTCTTCTGATAGGCTGTAACGCTAACGGTTATTGGATAACCGATATAAGATACAGCACTTTGGTACAGTATATCTTAATATACACAAATTACGTGTCACGTTGTTAGTCCGCGATGGACTCCTAAACTACTTAACCGATTTTAATCAAATTTGCACACCATGTGCAGTTTGGTCCAACTTAAGAGATAGGATAGTTCTTTTGCCCATGAATGACCCACAATATTTTTTTGCTAATTTAAGGATTTTTAATAGGACATGACAAAGGGTCGTCCAAAAGGGCAGAACAACGTCTGCCTGCCAAGCTAGTTAGTGTATAGTTTTGTATTAACTTTTACGGTTAGATTTCGGTTCGGTCGATTAGTTTCTAACTGTCCTTACGAGGGCGGCACTGAAAATTTCGGGAACCAAGGAAGTGACACAACATTACTATTTAAAAATGTATTTATTGCTTTTCGAAGTATTCTCCGCACACATTTTTCCATACGATGGAACCAATCATTGAAGCAACCATTCCATTCGGAAGTTGGGGTCTCCAAAATGGCCGTTTTGTAGGCGTCCACAGCTTCTTCAGGTGATGCAAATCTCTGTCCACGCAATTTATTCTTTATTTAAGGGAAAGTATAGAAATCATTAGGGCTTAGGTCGGGGCTGTACGGCGGATGGTCTAATAACTCTATGTTTTCTTGCTCTAAAAACTTTTTTGTTCTGTGTGCGGTGTGAGAACTCGCATTGTCGTGATGGAGGATGATGCGGTGGTTGCAGTTCTCTTTACGGAGTTCAGAAACGACCTGTGGCAAACAAATGCTAGCATACCATTCTGCATTAACCGTTCTTTGTCCCTCAAGAGGAATAGTCGTAACATGACCGGTTTTGGAGACAAACGTGGCCACCATTTTTTTTTGCAACACTCCGTGAACGAACAATTTTTGTTGGCTTTAACTCATTTTCGAACACCCAAACTCGTGACTGGTTTTTTGTTTCGGGTTCGTACGCGTATATCCAGGATTCGTCGCCTGGTACGATATTGTATACAGCATTTGAGCACCAAGTAACGCGAGCCGCTTTTTGCTCTTCACAGAGCGAATGCGGTATCCATCGGGAAAACAACTTTTTTACACCTAATTGTTCATGCAAGATTATTTGTATTTGACTCATGCCAATGTCTAAAGTTGCCTGAATTTCGCGGTGTGTCACATGTCGATCTTCCTAAATCAGCTTACGCACAGCATCAACGTTTTCTTGGGAGACTGCAGTTTTTGGACGACCTTGACGCAAACCAGCGATAAATTGTGGTTTTGGATAGCTTCATCACCAAATGCAGAAATCATCCGGTCAACACACTGTTTTTGTGTTAAACCACTTCGAAAGTCATAATAAATCATCGCTCTTGAATTTTCTCGAGTCAATTCCATTTTCTCAACGACTAAACAAGTTTGACAAAACCTTGTGACAAGACCGAGAATCTTTTTTTTAAATAAATAAATGGTATTCGATTTTTAAAACCAAGGAGTTTTCAATTAAAAAAGATTTTAATGTGACAGGAACAGTGGAAATATTCCAATCCCGATACTTTTAGTGCAGCCTATGTATTTTATAATCGCAGTGTTTAAGTTTACTTAGATAACAAGTAAACAATAATAACATACAAGAGAAATGATAAAAATTTTAATGTCTGTTTCTGTCTACGTATGTCTACCGTTACAGTCTATTAAATTCCATTGCTGAACCTCCTCCATAGTTTGCCTCATAAGGGGGGGGGGGTCTGTTAGTTGTTTTTTTTTGGCATTACTAGGAAATCGCCCATCTCCTGATTTGTTTCCCTTTGCCGTCTGTTACGACACCCGCGGGATGATATAGTGTAGGCACAGAATAAATAATAGTATAATACTACGTAGTGTAGGTACCTACGTTGGTAATATTGAGTCGGGGCAGCGTATATTGAACGTATACAATAGTGCGCACAGGTCGGGACTGATCAAGTATAGTTTCAATTTGTGAGCATAACTATTTTTAGAAACTAGCTTTTATACGCTTAAACTTTGAGCAACATACTGCACTAGTTAAAAACACATCGAGCATAAACGTTATAGAGTGTATGTTATTAATGTGTGTTGATAGTATTTATATGTTATACAAAATAACACTAATATTATAATTAAACTTATAATTACTTCCTGTTCACCTGACAATTCCGTGATAAAGATAAAAAAATAAAAGAAAATGTACTATGTAGATTATATAACATAATTGACCCTTAAGGGGATTATAGTAAGTCAGCTCAAATTCTAATTTCGCCCCCACTTCCCCGCGCGTCGTATGCTATGTACCGACATGTTTGTAATCACTAATACTGTAAGTAGGTAGGTCGTTAGATACTTATTTTAATAGGTTTATCATATTTATGCATGTTTCTTTACGCTAACCCAGTCGCTTCTTATTCTAATTTCGCCCCCACTTCCCCGCGCGTCGTATGCTATGTACCGACATGTTTGTAATCACTAATACTGTAAGTAGGTAGGTCGTTAGATACTTATTTTAATAGGTTTATCATATTTATGCATGTTTCTTTACGCTAACCCAGTCGCTTCTTATTCTAATTTCGCCCCCACTTCCCCGCGCGTCGTATGCTATGTACCGACATGTTTGTAATCACTAATACTGTAAGTAGATAGGTCGTTAGATACTTATTTTAATAGGTTTATCATATTTATGCATGTTTCTTTACGCTAACCCAGTCGCTTCTTATTTTTATGACGGTTATTTCCCATTTTAATTTTACGTCGTCCTGTTGCGTAATGTGTATTCTGGTCGTAAGCGACACAACTTCTCCCTTCAAAAGCCGGAGCGATACTAACGGGCCACAGGAATCAAGCTTACGCGCCGATAGTTTAGGTAATTTCTTTTTACAGTGAAAATAATGGTATTTTATAAAAAGTAAATAACATAAGCACTGCTTTATAGTTAATTCAGTTAGTATGCAAAGTTTCATGATCTTATTTAAAGTATTTTATGAATAACAGCGGTTTATTGTTCAGTTTGGAGGTAACTTTGGATTATTTTTCTATCGAGAAAATTTTACGGAATCGTGTTTTCGTCTAACATAGTCCTTAACATTAATCCTCAACTTTACCATATATTTATTTCAAAATTAATGCTGCAATACTTTCGACATAACGGAGGATCTTGCTAAGCCGTTTGAGGTTATATTTCCCCTTAAAGTTACTTCTGTAACAGCTTCGGCGCTGCGGGAAGTGCAGCCCCTTCGCCCTTGCGTAGCAAATTGCAGGTACCCGCGCCTTCGGCGACCAGCCTCAGCCGCTACGGCTCGCTCAGGTGCCTGCAATTTGCTACGGCAGGCGGGGGCTGCTCTCCCTCCGCGCCTACAGATTTACAAAAACTCTCTAGGAATAGGGCAGACAAGACTGCATGGAGTCGGAGCGTGCTGATACAGTTTTAGAATCTGTCGAAATGATTCGACCAATCATCTAATTTAAATATAATGACATTTACTTAGTAAATTTCTGAGCTTGTATACTAATACTTGTTGCGCGTTTACATCCTAAATGTATACAATGTCAGAACATGTCGGTTCTAGCTTCTAGCCTTGTATAATCTCTTAACTAATTTACTAAATCAGAGTTAGAAAGTATACGCGACTAGTACGCAGAAATCGTGTATATTTTCAGAAAATTTTATTTGATACACATTCTGAAAACATACAGTGTAAGAACACTATGAATGCGTTCTGCCCTTGTATTTTCTGTCTTTGTATACAATAAACGCGTCGGGGCAGGTCGCTGGAATAAAATATAAATAAAAAGTAAAAAAGAAAACCCGATGTACATTTATTCGGATATTTTTTTGACCTTGTTCAAGAAGATTCTTAATCGAATGTGAATATGTGAAATCAAAATGCAGATGCGTTGTTACCCCTGAGGACTAAGATGGAATTGCTCGATCCCAGTAAAACGGGTCTCCGGTTCTCTACAGTTACCATACGAAACACAGCAGCATTAAGCTGCTATTTTACGCTGATTTTCTGTGAGAGCGTGGTCCTTCCCCGGTCGAGCCGACCCACTCATGCTACAACCATAATATAGCTACAGCGTGGCTCTATCACGTAAATAGTTAATAATAAATAAGTATTTAGAACTACAACTTCTTTAGGCGCGACTTAAAACGGTAAATCAGATCTTTTTTCGGTATACATTTTCAGACTTTATATTTATATTTATATATAGTTAGTACTATACTAAAAATAAATGTCATTTTATTATTAAATAACATAGTAATAAGTTAAATTGACATGTAGCTCGAAGAGACAACAACCAATGGGGAAGAAAGATCCTCGAGTGGCAGCCCCATACTGGTAAATGTAGTGCTGGCCCCATTTAGATGGAGTAAAGACCAGGCAAGATATGCAGGAAGTCGATAGGTGCAGGTGGATCAGGAGAAGGGTTGCCATCCATACTGTAGTATATAGTATCGTACTATATTTCAGTCATTTGTACTATACAACATGTAACAAAAACCCTGTGGATCCCGTTAACTGCGTTATCAGAATCAGTATCCAAGCATATAGAAATAATTTTATTCGAAAAAAACACATTTAAAAAAATAATTTTAATGAACAAAAATTTAGTTACAAATTGTATGTGGTTTTATTATCTCTGTATTGAGGAGTAAGAGGATTGTCAAAGACCTCGCATTACCAATACTCGTGTGAGTTAGATGAAATAAAACCACATACAATTTACAAACTCATTTTTTTTCTATAATATAATTTTTTTTAATGTGTTTTTTGAAAAAAAATATTTCTATACGCTTGGATACTGATTCCGATAACGCCGTTAACGGGAACCACAGGGTTTTTGTTACATGTTGTATATTATAGAGAAATATTATAATACGGAAAATACTATATTTTTATCCCTAATTCAACTGTCGCGTTTTTTTAAATTAGCGTGACTGGAACAAGTCGGTTTTACGGAACGAATTTTTTCCATCATGATCATGAATGCAAAATTGAAAGAAGAAAGAAAAAGACAATGTATCAATTGATTTAAAAATTAATTGCTAATTTATTTTAATATGAATCTAAATTGCTGACTCCTATAATTATTTTAAGGGTAAGGTAGAAGGTAAGGAGGTTAGATGTGAGATGTGCACTTTTTTCCTGAATTTCTCAAAACTACTATATTTTTGCGTCTTTTTTTGGAAAAATACTATATTTATTCAAAAGAAAAGGTCCATGTTCAGTGTCCTGTCAAGTCAGTGTACTTGTGATGCACTGTAGTGGTGATAATAATGAAATGGAAAATATTATCAAATTTTTATAATTTTTATACGTGGTAGAGCCACGCTGCAGCTATATTATGGTTGTAGCATGAATGGGTCGGCTCGACCGGGGAAGGACCACGCTCTCACAGAATACCAGCGTAAAATAGCAGCTTAATGCTGTGTTTCGTATGGTGAGCATAGAGAACCGGAGACCCTTTTTTACTGGAAACGAGGCATTCCATCTTATTACTCAGGGTGACAACGCATCTGAGTTTTGATGCTTAATCGAGGATAAATGTAGATGTCTATGGGCCACAGCATCCACTTACCATCAGGTGGACTGTGAGCTCGTTTGTCACCCTTAATTCTATAAAAAAATCTAATCTACTGCAACGACATTAAAAATGAATACAGTATTGAAGTAGCCTGTCAATATTTTTTTATTCTATAAAAAATATATTGTGAGGCTACTTCAATATTACAGACGGATTGACGAGCGCAGTACCAAACGTCTTTGCTGGCCTGGATAAATGATTACAACGCCATCTATTGGAATCCAAATTAGTTTCTAACATATATCATGATCCGATACGTCAACGGGCCAAAATGGGGTTATATATGGATTGTCCTACACCGCCAACACATACTTCTGGTTATTTTTTCACTAGCTATTCTCCGCGACTTCGCCTGCGTGGAATTTATTAGAACTGGATTACATTCAGCAGGGATGAGAGATATGATAAGGATATAGAACGACGAGTGAACGCAGGAAATAGAGTAAATGGGGCCCTACACTCTATTGTGAGGAGTCAGAATGTGTCAAAAAAGGCACGTATAGCAATTCACAATGCTGTGTTGGTCCCTACTTTAACGTATTGTAGTGAAAGTTAGGTGTGGCAGAAGAAGCACGAGAGTAGAAGAAAGGCAGTAGAAATGCGGTCGTTAAGGAGTATGTTAGGGCTGAATCTGAATGACAGGATGAGAAATTGTGTGATAAGAGAAAAGTGTGGTTTGCAAGATGATGTTGTGACCAGGATTAAGAAAGGAATGCTTCAGTGGTTTGGTCATGTGGAAAGAATGAGTAAGGAAAGAGTGACAAAGAAAATTTATGTTGCGGAAGTGAATGGCAGAGTCGGAAAGGGACGTCCTGGGTGAAAGTTTATCGACCAAATTAGCGATTTATTGAAAACGGGCCAAATTAGAAGTACTCTTAACCGACGAGCATGTATGTGTAGGTATATGGATGTGAAGGAGGCGAGAGAGATCTGTGAGGATAGTGCCAAATGGAAGTCTGTAGTCTCTGCCTACCCCTCTGGGTGATAGGCGTAAGTGTTTATGTTTATGGATTACATGGGTTTTAATTTTTTGCGCGGTACCCTAATTCTTATATAAAATAATAGTAGCCTAAGTTACCCCCTGTAACATAGAGATTTTCGCCAGTGAAAGTTCCGTCAAAATCGGTCCAGCCGTTTCGGAGGTTATCCGAAACAGAAAGACAGACAAAAATTTTAAAAATTTGATTTTTGTTATAAGTACCGTATACTTTCAAATTATGCATTTAGTCATAGAATACTATAATACATACATAATAGAACGGAGGAGTGGGCGGAGCCCGTGTAGCAACTAACATGTCACTAACACGTCAGTTCACACGTATAAATGTCAACACGAGATGTGTTTTGACGTAACAATCGTTTCCAAATTTCGCATGCAAATTATTTAGAAAATACCAAATTGCACGCTATTTACATATAAATATGTATTCAAATTTAAACGACTTTTTTATTTCGCGTTAAATCTTTTTAGTTTTGTGACATAAAAGTCTAAAATGTGTAAATTTACTCAATCTATCAAAACAGCGAATCGGGTTTGTAATAGTGATAATATGACGTAATTCTTCTGGTCTACCTAACTAACAGATGGGCGGAGGCAGTAGAGTCCAAGGGGGAGGCATTGGCCGTTAGTTTGGACATTGCGAAGGCCTTCGATCGGGTTTGGCACAAAGCGCTTCTTTCGAAGCTCCCTTCCTATGGGCTTCCCGAGAAATTGTGCGATTGGATCACCAGCTTTCTTGCAGATCTGAGCATCAAGGTCGTCGTTGTAGACGGTGCAAGCTCCGACGCCATAATGCTGGTGTTCCACAAGGCTGCGTGCTATCACCAACGCTGTTTCTTCTGCATATTGTTGCGCGGCTAAGTTGACATCTGGCACTAGCGCCATCCAGTGTCGGGTAACGGAGCGAGGGGAGAGCTGACATCACTAATCTTTCAACCGACAGCGCCATCTGTTGTCGAAACGAAGAACTATGCTTCTGGAAGCTGACTCTCGAACTTTCGGCGCTTTGTCGATTGGTGCGCGTATTTACTTGAATGTTCTGGATGATTCGGTACTAATGTGTATTTATAGGCGCTGCAAGGTGCGATCGGGGAAGTATTGAATTTGGCGAGACAAGCGAAGCTTCGGAGCGAAATAAAGTGAATCAGTGTGATTAATTATTAGTGTCTTCTAAGTTTTAATTAGTGTAAAGTGAATTAAAGAGTTAATTTTGGTAATTCTATCGGCAATTTTTATTGTCACGAACCTCAAGCTCGTAACAATATCAATGATATGTTGCAAACCCGTAACATTCATTACTATGCAGATGACAGCACTGGTGATGCTCTTTAAACCGGCCGAGCCACTATTTCTCGGGAAAACGTCTCCGAGTGCCGGGACAAACTTGTGTCTGAAGTCGAGTCTTTGCTGAATAGAGTCTCGGATTGGGGGCGACTAAATCTAGTCCAGTTTAACCCCCAGAAGACACAAGTTTGCGCGTTAACCGCTAAAAAGAACCCTTTTATCGTATCTCCTCAGTTTCAAGGCACTCCCCTTGTTGCCTCAGCCAGTATCGGAATCCTCGGCGTTGACATATCGAGTGACGTGCAGTTTCGTGGTCACTTGGAAGAGAAGGCCAAATTGACCTCTAAAAAGCTTGGCGTGCTCAGCGGAGCGGGACAGTATTTCATGCCGGCACACCGCCTGCAACTTTACAAGGCGCAGGTTCGGCCGCACATGGAATATTCCCATCCTGGGCTGGGGCTCCCCAGTACCAGCTCCTTCCACTTGACCGCATCCAGCGCAGAGCGGCTCGAATCGTCGACGACCGAGCTCATTATTGCGAAGAGGTGTTGCATCTCTTTGTATTTCTTTTTCGCATATACCATGGAGAGTGCTCTGAGGAATTGTTCGGATTAATCCCAGCCGCCAAATTTCGTGAACGCACTACGCGGCAAACGTCCCGATACCATCCACACCATCTGGATGCTTGGCGGTCCACCACAGTACGTTTCAAAAGGAGTTTTCTTCCGCGTACAACTTCTCTGTGGAATAGTTTACCACCAGCGATTTTTCCGGACCGATACGACCTGGGGACCTTCAAGAAAAGAGCTTACTCCTTTCTAAGGGGCCGGCAACGCACCTGCAATTCCCCTGGTGTTGCGGTTGATCATACGCGGCGGTAGTCACTTAACATCAGGTGAGCCGCATGCTCGTTTGCCCCCTCTTCTATAAAAAAAAATATTTCGCCTTAAATCTTTTTAGTTTTGTGACATAAATCAAAAGTCTAAAATGTGTAAATTTACTCAATCTATCAAAACAGCGAATCGGGTTTTTAATAGTGATAATACGACGTAATTGCTTCTATGTGTGCTCCAGGTGACGCGGAATCTCGTACAAAATAAGCTTGACAGCCATTCTATTGTGTATTTTGGTTTTCTGTGCATTTAGTAAAAAGTTGTTATTTTGACATTACAAACATACACTTAAATTTTATTTATTTGTATAGATTAGTTTAGAGTTGATGGACATTACAAGGATGTATGTGAGAAATAAAACTTTTTTATATTTTTAACATACCCAGACTTCATAGCAACACGTACGAATCCCTTTCTTCTACTAAGGATCACTTTGTATTCTCCTGGATGAGAATCGAGCGCCTCAGCAGCGCCGCCGACAATCAGAGTCACACATTTTCCCGTATGTCTCCTCCTGTCCAGCAGGTACAGGAGACTCTCTTGAGACGAAGAGCAACTACCCAAAGCCATAATGAAATCTCTGAATAGCGGGACCAAGAAATGACCTCCTAATGTAATCATATGGCATGTCATTCCAGGGAACGTTTTATAGAAGTCCAATGCGTTTGTTGCGAACGCTCCAAAAGCCCCGGAACAGACCACGCCGTGGGGGAAACATGCGAAGAGATAGTTCTTTGATGGATCCAAGTCGACAGTTTTGATCAGTTTTATGGGGAAATAATCCCGATAATACCGCCACCAGGCCCAGTTTCTCACCCACTCGAACCTAAAAATAAAAAAGAACATATGAAACGAATGAAATGAAATTAACGATTTTTATTCAACATAGATTATTATATGCCATTAAAAACATAACTTGTAAAAAAACCAAGTGTCGCAACTCAGTTCTTCTACTGTAAAAAGTTGTGAGATGCATGTAATACCAAGTCGGTTAATTTATTCAGTTCCTACTTAAGACTCCTTATGTTTTAAGTTATTACGTAATTAGCTAACCTAACAACATTTTATAGTGACCATATCAATGTTAAAAGTCTTTTATGTTTTAAATATATAGATTGACTTGGATAATTAATTTACCACTGGTTCCCAAAAAAACCTCTGTCCTGGGAAGAACCAGCAAGAAACCCAGCGGGATTTTTTAAAAAACATATTTAAATTTACAATAAATTTATTTTGTTACAATTTTTGAAGGAATTTTTATAGAACCAGCATGGTTGCGATCACCTCATTCCCAGGGGTTATTTTCATCTATATTATGATAACCCTTTTTGTACAATTTTTCTTTAATAAAACATTTAAACTTCTTTAATCACAAATTTTGAAGGTACTTATTCTGGGATTTTGTTGTAAACGCGTATACCTACATTGCCCCATAAATGAATTACTAATTCTGTGGAGTCTAGTAACTAGTATTACAAGCTTATGTTTGTTCCTAGTGTTTAAAGTATAAACATCTTTATTCTTATCAAAGCTATTTATGTTTTTATGTAGATACATTACATTTTCATAAATATATTGCGATGCCAAAATTAATATGTTTATTTCCTTAAATTTTTCTCGAAGGGACTCTTTACAATTTAAGTTGTAAATCGCCCGTACGGCTCTCTTTTGCAAAACAAATATGACTTCAATGTCAGTGTGACAATGTCAACTTCATATTTAATCAATATAATTACTGTCCACAAGTCCACAGCCGAGTCTCCTCAAGAAATTGACACAAAGCAAGGTTCTGAGCTGCCTGCATTTATCGACTTAATTAGGCAAGCCCCCCACTGAACAGACAAGAATGCCGACCTGAATGCAATAATTTTTTTGACCTGTGGTAAAACAATTTTTTTTTGGGCCATTTCGCGTACCTTATACGCGAGCTAATCAAGTTTGATCCTCGTAAACACCAATAAAATTATCAATTTTTTTTTGGATTTTAAGTCCTGATTTACCACGGCGGTAAAGAAAACTTCGTGAGGAGCTCAGTGATGAAAGAAACTTGAGGAAAAGAAGAATGATATGTCTGACCATTCATTTCATACATACTCGTTTGAACTTTGTCTATCTGAAGTAAGGTTGCCAGATCTTAAAACCGAAAAGCCGAACAGACCAGCGAGCTTAGCCGAACATTTTGGTAAAAAGGCCGGACATAATCGTAAAAGACAAAAAAACCGTAAAATCTTCTTAAGTTCTAACGCAATAACAACAATTGAATAACTCAGCCTTCCTTATTATTGTTAATTATTCAATATTCATTACAATATTAATTTCAATAATTGCAATAGTATGTATGTAAGTATATGAAAAATGTAAAGAAATGGTCAAATTCAAAAAACCCTAACAAAAGCCGGACACCGTCTAATTTTGTCACTTCTACCAAAAAGCTTGACACAGTCAGGTTTTTTGGTAGAAGTGACAGTGTATCTAAAACTTTTTTGTTTGAAGTTGACTGCAAATGACCATGGGTTGCCATTTTAATGCACTTATCAGGTGAACTATAAAGGCGTTTCTCACTTCAATGCCTCACAAAAATGCCTTACAGCCTGTAAACAACCAATACTGGCTCTTTATACCCTTCCGACCGGAACGCCTAGTGTTGCAGTGCACTGGGTTTAGGCGGCAGAAATAACTAGGATGGTACCCAGACAGACTCCTAGGTACGGAGTCCTGTCGCTAATCTATAATCATTATTATCAATACAGCCTACCAGAAGTCCATTATTAGACATTGGTTACCATTACATAAAAATATCATAAGTTGTATATACCTACGACCGCCTTTGTTTGCTGTATCAATATCCTGCAACATCCACACCGCGTACAGCAACGCCATCCACCAGAGCGAAGAGTACAGTAGACTGATGTATAGAAAAATGGTGACTGCTTCGCCGAATAAGACGAGACATATCCATCCAGTGGCAGCGAGGGTCTGCAGTCGACGCGATATTGGGAGGTTCATCGGGGCCCATTCTATTCCAAATGTTTGAGATATTCGACTGAAAAAATAAGAAAAAATTTAAAGGCCATCCTGAAAAGTAAAAGCCTACGCTGAGACGATTTTCTAGCGATGTTTTCCTTCACCGTCGAACATGTGGTAAATTGCAATTTCATTGGTATCGACGTGCAACAAAGTGGCTTTGCTCGCGTGCAACTAGAAGCATTTATACGTGCTAGAGCCATGCTGCAGTTATATAAGTAGTATAGTTGTAGCACGAATGGCTCGGCTGGACCGGGGAAGGACCATGCTCTCACAGAATACCAGCGTATTATAGCTACTATTTTACGTGTTTCGTATGGTGAGTGTAGAGAACCGGATACCTTTTATACTGGAAACGAGGCATTCCATCTTAGTGCTCAAGGGCGACAACGCATCTGCATATTCATTCGTAATCGAGGATAGATGTAAATGTCTATGGGCCACAGCAACCACTTACCATCAGGTGGACTGTGTGCTCGCTTGTCACCTTATCCTATGTAAAAAAAAACGCTACCCTTCTCCGGTCACTGCTTTTTTGTCCGTGGGCCTAGTGTTTACCGGTTGGGCCGATGCATTCGTGGTGTAACCATAATAACGTACTTTAGACGGAATTTTAGACACGGCGACCAGTCTCAACGGAAACTAGCCATCTGCGCATGACAGGATTATAATACACGAGTGTATCCGCAAGAAAAGGTGCACTTTCATAGTCACTTGAAGACAGAAACCCGATACGACCGGAGAGAGATCAAACGCAAGACCAACGTTCTTTAGGTACGTTCCGAGGCACGGAGGCGAAACACCGTCTACTTCTTGAATTCGGGGTGCTACTGATAATTTCTTGACAAAAAACCCAATAACAGATTTTGGCTCGACCCGGGATTTCACTCCGAACCACATGATGAGCAGTCGCGCTTACAATCGCTGGACCAACGAGGCAGTGTAAACAAACACGACATTTATAATAATAGTAGTCTTAGAATATTATACTTGTAGCTTTATATTTTAACAATAGTAAAGCTATGCTGCAGCTGGATTTCGACTTTCTTTTCTAATTGTCCCAAAAAAATGTCTATGTAAGTATTTAATAAGATCAACTCGTATAGCTAAGAACCAAGAAGGGAGCTTAAAAACACGTCAACAAAATAAAAATCCTTATCAAATTAAATGCAGTCGCAACCGGATATATATGTACCGACGCGACGTCCATAGAACGACGGATCGGTTATTGCGACGAAATGGCCACCAGCCGAGACCCCATATAACACATTTTGCTTGTGTGTTTATTGGATTATACCAAGCATTGTTACTTCGATGTTTCTATAACTATATAAGCATCGTTTTAGGCATTTTATGTAGATTAACATTTACAGTCTTTATCTCAAACCTTTTGTATAAGTTGTTTAATTTTTGCAAGAGTTTTTCCTGGGCAAAAAATAAACTTGCTCGTCTCCTACAGAGAGGATCCTATATACTCGATATAGATCACATTGCTGGTGCGTATAGCGCTTAGTGCGACTATTCCTAGCCTGCAATATGTCTTATACTTCGTTAGGAGAATGGAGATGGCGGTATGAGCTTATGAAACTTATAGGTACACTCTCCGAGGTACAATCTGTAGAAGACCGACAAACAAGCAGCTTGGCGGCGGTGAGCTAAGCTGTGAAGCTTAGTTTTCACCAGCTTTTTGTCGCCGATAACCACTTGGCTCTGCCTTTCACTAAGTCGAGTGCGGCAAGTTGATATTTTGCTGAGCCACTCCAAAGGTGACCACAATACTCCATACATGTTCGGACTTGAGCTTTTTATAAAGTTAGAAGCTGTGACGTGAAGTATCGTTTCACCGTGTTTAGAATACCCAGTTTTTTGGCCGGTTAGTTGAGGTTAGCACTCAACTGTATGCCGAGAAGCTCGAGATGATCAGAAACCTCCACAGATGTACCTCGGAAAGTCCGTCGTACCGTCGCACCAGAAGTACGTGCCATAAACAAGTGGACCGTACCTGGCGGAAGCCATATTGTTAGTTACTGGGGAGGTGTATCAAGGTATATCAGCAGCTAACTGTTCAGTACCCTTTACATAACTTTACAGAGTATGGTGTTGATGGCGATTGGTTGATAATTACAGGGATCGGCACGACTTCCCTTTTTGGGCATTGGCAAGCTTCCAAGATTTAGGCACCGTTCGAGTTTTAAGAGAGGGCGGTCGGTACAGGCGCGTCAGAACGTTGTTGCAAAATTGTCTCTTTGTCTTCGATGTGCGATCGATAGACACAGGCATAGAAGTTTGTCTTTACACCGATGTTTACTAAAAGCCACATCGTTAAAAACCCTGGAACCTCAAAGTAACAGAGACGCAAACAGCAAATGTTATCGTGTACGTACACACAGACCAGCGTGCTGTTTGAACTTATGTTCAAGCATGTAACCTGGCTAGTTGAGGGACGCCACATCACGACGAAATCGCTATCTGCGTCTACGTTATGTAGAATAGGTGCAGCTTCTCGGTCTCGTGATCAGTGTGCTACCCTCTGATGTTTGTTAAGTGCACTTTAAACGGGAGAAAATGCCGCCGCTGTTTTACCGTATTCTTCTTTTTACAGTGGGTCCCTCCATACTGACTGGATCCAACTGGCACGGTGGAGATTTCGGGATTTTTCACAAGTTGTTGGGACAGCTTTTGGCACGTGGCTGGCACGCTACATGAGCCCCCAACCACCTGCGGTCGGCCAAAAGCAAGACCGTGCCTCAGATACCGCTACCCTTTAGAATGAGTTACCCGGTATAGCTTTGCTTAGAAGTCCATACTAGTCTTGCACGTCGCAACTGATGGCTCTTCTGTCCTCTAAAGTCACTGGTTCACCCGCTCACAGAAGGAACGCAGTGTGTTGCTTCGCACCTGACTCCTATGGGAGGGTGATAGCAAGCCAGATGGAGGATCATCAGCCGTCACTATAGGATAAAGTAGCCAATGATGCCGTTGCCCGGGGTGGACCGCTCGGAGGTAAATTTCAGCCACCCCAACATTAAGTCTCATTGCCAGTAAAAAGGGTCTCCGATTCGTTTCACTCCCCACATGAAACACTGCAACATAATCTATATTTTTTTATAGATTAAGGGTGGTGAACGAGCACACAGTCCACCTGATGGTAAGTGGATGTTGTGGCCCATAAACATGCAGATGCGTTATCACGCCTGAGGACTAAGATAGAATGCCTCGTTTCCAGTAAAATAGGGTCTCCGGTTCTCTACACTCATAATACAAAACACAGCAGCATTAAGCTGCTATTTTACGCTTGTATTCTGTGAGAGCATTCGTGCTACAACCATAATATAGATGCATCGTGGCTCTACCACGTAAAAACGTAAAAGCATATTTCAATTATATGGTAGTATTATACCAATCTTCAACCGACTTCATAAAAAGGAGGAGGTTCTCGATTTGACTGTATTTTTTATTTGTACCTCAGCACTTTTTTCCAGGTGAACCGATTTTGATGGTTCTTATATGCAAAATGTCACATATTTCTAAAAGTATATAAAGTTTATTATTAAGTTGCATCTTAAAAGTATATCATAATATGCATTAAAGCACTTTATTAGTTTGTATAATGATTTTTTAAATTTACGCGAACACTCACATATCAGTCCCCCCCGTGACCATGGGTGCTGTAAAGCACCCGAAATGTCGGAATTATAAAAATAAGTTAAAAATAGGTTAAAGTATCCGTATCCGTAATCCGTAAATAATAATTTTATTCATGTAGCGGCGCTGTCGTCGCGCCACTAGCACACCGAAGCCTAAATCGCGCTATTAACATTCCGAATCATAGACAGTATATATAGAACTTCTCCGAACTATCACTCGGAGCGTTGGCCGCTCCCCGGGCATAACACCTTGCCCGGCGGGAGATCTCCCCTTTTCCTTTCACGGCCACAATTCAATTTTTAGGTTGTGTTTATAAAAGAATTATAGTATAGTTGCAGTGTAAAAATATTCACTATCCCATATCGTCCAGAGGGTGTCGTGAGAGGCGACAGAGGGAAACAAATTAGTAGATGAGCAGCAACGTCTTCCTAATACCGATTAAAAATAAAAGAACTGCGGTTAGCAGGCCGCTTGCCACGCGTGGCAACTGTAGCAAATATCCCCATGAGGCAATCTATGAAGAGGCCTATATTCAGCAGTGGACTTTAATAAGCTGTAACGGTTTATAAAAAATAACTAAGTGCATGTTGGAACTAGTATTTGGAATATGAGGTTTTTCTAAGAAATATTTATTTCACTACTAGATTTTCTAGGTTTAAGCGCACTGTTCATCATAATTTTAACCGACTTCAAAAAAGGAATACACATTAAAAAAACATTCGAATTGAGTACCTCCTACTCAATTCGAATGTTTTTTCAATGTGTATTACCTCAGAACTTCATTCTAAGTAACACACATTACATTACCTTCTCCGATTTTAATGATTCTTGTTTTATTTGAAAGCTGGTGTGTCTGTACTGTAGTCCCATATAAAGATCAATATACTGCTCCAACATTACTATACTTGCTGCAATATACTACTATCAGACGGCTCCGTGGCGCGGTGGTTTAGCAATGGTGGCTGTGCTGGGGGCCGCGGGTTCGAATCCAGCACGGAATAAGTATTTGTATCATCATCATCATCATCATTACAGCCCTTCACAAGTCCACTGCTGAACATAGGCCTCCCCCAAGTAATGCCACAAAGCACGGTCCTGAGCCACCTGCATCCATCGACTTCCTGCATATCTTACCAGGTCGTCACTCCATCTAGTGGGGGGTCGCCCTACACTACGTCTACCGGTACGAGGCTGCCACTCGAGAACCTTTCTTCCCCATCGGTTATCGGTTCTTCGTGCTATACCTATGGCCGGCCCATTGCCACTTCAGCTTACTAATCCCTTGGGCTATGTCGGTCACTCTGGTTTTACTGCGGATATCCTCATTTCTGAGTCTATCACGCAGAGAAACTCCGAGCATAGCCCTCTCCA